GAAATGATAGTTGAGTTTATACTCCGTAACAGCATTTTTGCAATTCGTTACAATAAGGATGAACCAAAGGATGAACCAAAGAGTGAACTTGATATTTCGTGTTGGAGAAATTGTTCCACTATCCTAACTCAGACTATGCTAACTTTTATTACGTTTCCAATTTTTATATTCTACCCTTTTCTGATGATGAAATCATTGGAAGTTGAGGAAATTCGCAAACCCGAAAATGACACATACTGCGAAGAGAAATGGTTTTTCATTAACGGCGTCATGACAAATACAAATTGGTTAGATCTGAATTGCAAATATCTGGAGAGTCGTTTCGGTAGGGGGGTTACAGGTATTCTTAATATTAATGGCAAAAATTAAAAAAGAAATTTTCCGTTGTAACATAATCAGTATTAATACCTGTATTGCTATTATGGGAATATTCAATCAGATGATATGATTGTCAAAATGTTAAAGGCGCTTGATATTAATATGTAAATAATAAGATAAGTTCAAGAAATAGATGAACGAACCATACTTAATTTATTATTATCATTACCATGGTCATTATTATTTCACGTTCATCATAAAGAGCAATTTTTAAAGAATTCTTTTTCCTTTTTGTTAATGGTTGTCCTAATTTACTGAAATCCAGGTAATCATATAATTACTCAATTATAATTCTTTTGGCATTTACCGAAAAAATGTAAATGTTCGATTTTTTTAAGGTTTTCATTTCAAATGCATGCATCCAATTGCAAATGCTTCTATTTATCGAATTAGAGTGATAGATGACCAGAATGGATAAATTGGTGTTTGAAGTAGGTAACCCTAAATTTTTTTTTAATTTAACAATAATAATTTTGGGTTAACGTTTTAAGGTAATCCTTATCGATAGACCAAATGATTCTTTGTTAAAGCTACCACAAAGGAAAGTTGTATGGTGCAAGCCACCTGTCTCACAACTTTCTACACTGCCAATTTTGAGAAAAAATTTCCAATCAAAAATGCAATAAAAATTGTTTGATCATTTCATAATTAGTAAATTGGAAATAATAATATATACCATTCATTATTACTATTACTAGTTAAATAATGATATTAACAATAGAGATGAAATGTACTTCTATGAAATATATTTTTGGTATATGTTTTGCAAGTTTCTTTGATCAATGCAATATCCTATTTATTAAATTTGAATAAATGAATTTAGCTGTTTGTTGTATTCTATATATATATATATAAATAAAGAATAAATTCTCTTTCCATTCATCTGGAAAATTCATGTGACAAAAGATCTGCGATGTAAGGGAAAAATTCAAATTTTTATTTTGTTTCGTATTTAATTTTTTTTATGTGTAATAGTAAACTCGGCAAACTTGTGCAACTTTGAAGCCCAAATCCTCCACAACAACATGACATATCAACAAGATGAAATCGTAACTTTGTAGAGGATTCAAAAACACGATTTATTTAGGTATTTCCATTTTTGGAGGATTTGAAGGATTTACGTGACTTGCACTATATAATAAAAATGAGAATATTTACTTTAGTCAATTGTTATTGTTAATTCTAATTCTATAATAAAATATGATTTGTTATTATCCAGTCTTATCTTTGGTACTGTGTTAATTTAACCATCCACTTTTTATCTTAATTTTAATCATCCCCTTGATTTGTTAAATTCAACGATCAAATACATATACGTATGTAATGAACGACTGTGCAATTTTTAATTAATGCTTTAACCCCGAGAATTATATTGAGAAGAACATCTACATTCGCCAATTGACATTTCTCCTTCACGTTCATACATAAGATTTATATCATGAGGAAGAGATAGAGGAGATAAAATCGTTATTATTATTATTATTTGAAAATCAAATTTTTATTTTGAGACAACTTCGGGTTCTCTAATAAAATAAACATGAGAAAAACTCCATTTTTTATTTCTTTGATTGCTTTCTTGGCAGATTCTGTAAAGTTATTACCTTTTTAAAATAAATTGTAAAATAAACTTTTAAAAAACAAAAACGTTATTTTGTTCTACGTTATAATGAGTGGTAAACTGAAGTATTATTGTCCAAAGATTGATTGGAAATACTGATAGTTATTATAAACGTAAGGCTGTTAAGCAAGCTGCTTGAGTTGTTTTGTAAATAAACCAAATAAAATGACAAAATCAAAAACTTGGCCTCATTTTGTTAAATCCGATGATTTCAGCTCCTACTCCATCAGCTTGCTTCTGAAAAGAATTGGCCCACTTTTTCTTTTATACATTATGGAAAGAGAAACAATTGACGTCTGAATGTACTTTAAATTGGTGTATAGTTGTTTTAATTGTAAATGAAAATGATAATATGGATATTATAATCATTGATGATGATGGAAATGTGGGAGACGAAAGTGATAAGAGATGGCGAAGAAGAAAACAGTGGTTGTTAAATCTTTTATTCAGGGATCCATGCGACTAAATCAAACTTTTTACATTATTATTATTATTTATATTATTTGACTCTTTGACATTAACATTATTTTTTTCCTTGAAAATCCAAGAATTTCTTATATTATATAACCATGATAAATAATAATAATAATTATTATTCAAGTAACAATAACTCTACAATATTTATAATTCTGAAATTGAAGAACTTATCTCAAACGGTCAGAGTATTCTTTAATGGTAACACAAATTAAAGTTTTGATCATTCTTATTGGTCAATTTAACGATCAGCAAAGTAAAACCAGTCAATCGACCAATTTTTAAAGAGGATTTACAAAAACCACAAGGACAACAACTGGATTTTTATGTATAGATTAATCGGCTGAATCTCAAAGATCATTTTCGTATTAGAAAGTGATGCCCCCCAGAAAAAATTTTTATATCAGAAAATTTTTATCGGTTATCAATAGCCGATTAACCGTTTAAGGGATAAACAAAAGCTAAGTGCCAAATACACAAATATGTGGATAGGGACCCTGGCCACAAGGTTGATCTTATCATTATAATAAAGGTTCGGATTTGAAATCCGTACATAATTTTTTTATAATAATAATAACAACAAACATGATTTTTGGAGTTTTGTACAATGAAAAAGTCTCAATATGTACAATAAAGTTTTTATAATGTATTGAAAAATCTATTTACAAATATCATTGTTTTTTGTATTTGTGTTTTTTTCTGTTTCTGTCAATTGAGCAAACCATTTGTCATCATTGCGCAATCCATCTTTTTTTGGTTTCTGATTGTTCATTTAACAATTTTCTATATTTTCTTTAATTAAAAATTAAAGTCTATAAATAATCAATCCCGTTTCAAATAATAGATAGCTTTTAAAATATATACATTTAAGAATTTGGAAAAATTAAGTTTTCGTACTCTGTACAAACATTTACCAAAAACCACCAGGATCCATATGTTTAGAGAATGTTCGAAAAGAAACAAATTTAGCATATAACATCACGGAAATCACCAATTACAAAGGGAATTGTGTCATTTCATGTTCCACTTAAGAGAGCAGCTGGACTAATTAAATATAATTCTTCGCAACCATAAATAATCAAATTCTAAAATAGAAATTTAAAATTCACCTAAATTAAAAATCATTTCATTGTGTGTTTAGATAGATTTATATAGGCAATTTATTGATTGTATTGTAAACTACTACACTCACTTGCCAAAGATGGCCGAACACTATGTAAATCATTTTAGTAAAATTTTCAGAAAATACAAAAAAAATCGATAATTAAATCAATCACTTTATTGATAAAAAAAAAAACTTTATACAAAATAATGTTGCCAATTTTTTGTAAAGTCAAACCATGTCTTTGAAATTTTAACATGGAAATTCTTTAACAATTGCTCTAACACAAAATCAAAAAAAAGCAGATCAATTCGTGACTTAAATTCTGAGGATTATGGATATAAAATTATATGTATCCATATTTTTTAGAACTTCATCAGTTAAAAATAAAAGATATTTGAAAAGAAACAGTCTAATGTAAAGTTTTTTAATCATTGCTCTAAAACCTACACAATAATAATAACATAGTTTTTAAAATTTTTACATGTAATAATTTAAAATCTGATATAATTTTTATAGTGTGGCTTTTGACTTTCAAAAAAAAGAAAAAGATTACTCAATTTGGTCAGAAATTGGCAAAATTGCATACATTAATATCTGACATACCATCTATCTATTTAAATTAGATTATCATTCCATTCTGTTTTTGATGTATCAAAAAATTCTCCTTTGCAACTTTGCCAATTTCTAACCAATTTGTGTAAACTTTTTTGATATGCCTTTATTACATATATTGAAAAACTATTAAAATAGAATTTTCGAATGAAGCAAAAAAATTTAACTTAACATATTTCTAGAATTTTTATTGGGCATCAAAACAGGTTTTCTTACTAGTTTTTGTTGCAAAGTTTAAAAAACGATCTACATAATGCCCGGTCATTTTTTAACCAGGAAATAATCGTGTCGAGAGAACCATACAAAAACCTGTAAAGACACCATATTAATATTACTAATTAGTCAAGTAATAGTAATGGGAGCAATTGAATAATAATATTAATAATATAGTAATTTACTTTTTTGGAAAATTTAATAATCCCTTTCCGCAATGTTACACGAGTCTGTGAAAAACCCAATTCACTTTTTTTGATATTCATGCATTCATGGATCTTTCGTTAACTAAGATCATAATTGGCTAAAAATTATTATTATTGTGTGGATCAAATTATATATATATATATATATACAAATTTAGAAATGATTATATTGTAAAATCAGATCTTTTTTTTACAACCTATTTGTAAATTATAAATAAATACGTTAATAAATTTATTTAATTACGATAATAATAATAATGACTTTAGCTAATTTCGTTGATCAAGAACAAGCCGCTTTCGAACATGAAGCTTCGGAGGTTGAAAGATGGTGGAAAAGTGGACGTTTTGCTCACATAAAGCGTCCATATAGTGCTAAAGAAATAGTGTCCAAAAGAGGTCTACTCAAACAACAATACCCTTCTGATACTCAAGCAAAGAAATTATGGAGTTTATTGAATTCCCATAAAAAAAACAAAACTGCCTCCCATACTTTTGGCGCATTGGATCCTGTTCAAGTGGCTCAGATGGCAAAATACCTTGAAACCGTTTATGTTTCTGGTTGGCAATGCTCTTCAACTGCCTCCACTTCAAATGAACCTGGTCCTGATCTAGCTGATTATCCTATGGACACTGTTCCAAACAAAGTCGAGCATTTGTTTATGGCCCAACGATTTCATGATAGAAAACAACAGGAAGCTAGATTAAGCCTTTCCAAAGCAGAAAGAGCAAAAATTCCTTTTGTAGATTATTTACGTCCAATAATTGCTGATGCCGATACTGGCCATGGCGGTACTACTGCTATATTAAAACTTGCAAAAATGTTTGTTGAACGTGGTGCTGCTGGCAGTAAGTTTAAATTTTAACATATTTATTTATTTATATTTAACTTTGATATTAAAATTAATTTATATGTTTATTTATTTTATTTTATATTTGACTTTCGATAATAATAATAGTTCACATAGAAGATCAAAGTCCACTTTTTAAAAAATGTGGTCATATGGGTGGAAAAGTTTTGGTCCCGATCTCTGAACATATTAATCGTTTAATATCAATTCGTGTTCAATTCGATATAATGGGTGTTGAAAATTTAATTGTATCTCGTACTGATTCCGAAGCTGCAACTCTTATCACATCAAATATTGACTCACGTGATCATGCTTTTATTCTTGGATCAACTAATCCTAATATTCGTCCTCTTATAGAAGTCATGAAAGAAGCTGAATTAAAAGGTTTGATTGGTCAGAAACTTGCTGCAACAGAAGAAAAATGGATTAAAGATGCAAACATAAAGCTTTACAATGATGCTGTGATTGATGCTATCAACAAATCATCCAATATTAATAATAAAAATTCCACGATTCAAAAGTGGACTTCAAAAAGTCAAGGACTTTCACATTATGATGCTGTGAAATTGGCAAAATCATTAGGTATTGAAGTATTTTGGGACTGGGATGCTCCAAGAACTCGTGAAGGATTGTATAGATACCAAGGTGGTACCAAGTGTGCAATCAATCGTGCTGTTGCATTTGCCCCATATTGTGATTTACTTTGGATGGAAACTGCTAAACCTATTTATGCACAGGCAAAAGAATTTTCAGAAGGAGTTCACAAAGTTTATCCTGAAAAAATGTTAGCATATAATCTCAGTCCTTCCTTCAATTGTAAGTTAAAAAATTGTCTAAATATTATTATTATTATTATTATTATTATTTATTTTATTATTTATTTATTATGTTTGTTTGTTTTTAGGGGATGCCGCTGGAATGACTGATCAACAAATTCGTAGTTTTATATCTGATCTTGGTAAACTTGGTTTTGTATGGCAATTTATTACATTAGGTGGTTTCCATTCTAATGCATTGGGTATTGGTAAGTAGCTCTCGATTATGATTTTTTAACAAATAGATAAACTAATTTTTAAAAAATTTTTTTTAACCAACTAATTAATTATTATAAATCCAGATTTATTTGCACGTAAATATGCTGAGATAGGTATGTTGGCATATGTTCAAGATATTCAACGTCAAGAACGTATGAATGGTGTTGAAACATTACAACATCAAACTTGGTCTGGAGCAAATTATGTTGATTCACTTAGTAAGCTTCATTTATTATTTTACTATCATCATCATCATCATCATCATCATCATCATCATCATCATTATTATTATGATTAAAAACTAAAATAATTAAATAATTTTTTTTATTAACAGTGAAAATTGTACAAGGCGGTGTTTCTTCTACATCTGCTATGGGTAAAGGTGTAACTGAAAAACAATTCTCCAAATAAAATTATTTTCTAAATAATTTTCTATTATTTATTTTATTTTCAAGTTATTAAATGTAGATAGATAAATATAAAATAAAGTCGTTAATTAAACCATCTGACAATCTAAGATGCCAGGTTCTGGAGTATGAATAGACATTGTGATATAACTGGAAAACCCCGTTTTTGTATAGTCTTTGGTAATCTCTATTCAACAAACCAATATCATAGAGATTTTATTTTCTCAAACAAATTTCTGTGCAAATCGGACATAATTTTAACACATCCTCCATAAAAAGTTCAGACTGACGCTTGCTTGACACACTATTCATAGAATTTGCAAGACAGTACAATCACACCTCTATCCAGGACGTGTACACATTGTACATATTTAAGGAATAGTGAGAAAGCAATTTATATTAAACAGGATGTTTGTTTCAAAATAATTCACAGAAAATGAGGATGAATTAGCAAAATATTTAAATATGGTTAATATAACTGACAATATTAATCCACTTATTTGGTGGAAAGAAGGAAGAGATGATTTACCAATACTTTCTATATTAGCAAGTATTCCTGAAGAGGAATATTAACTTTTTGGAATTTAAATTTCATTATATATTTATGATTCATTCGTGCGCTAAATTTCCACGTTGTCATAATTCGTGATGTTAAAACTATTATTACTATTTTTTTGTTACTTTGGCTAATTCATCCGATTCATTATTAATACAATACCATGAAATTGTTAATTAGTGGCTATTGTGGTCGGATTTAGATAACTCGAATTACTTCCTTTTCTGAATTTGTAAGTTGCAGTAATAATTTAAATGTATTTGTTAAAATAAAATATATAAGCTAATAATAATATATAATGTCATTGTTTTAGCATTTTAGAAGGAACAGTCAAGGTCACAAATATCTGAAATTTTGGATGATGAAATGATAATGAATCGGATATCTTGACTTCAGTATGTCCATGATTTACTTCCTTTTATTGTATGATAATGTAGTTGTGCAAATATTTTAAAACTTATGGAAATAGTGCATTCAATTAATTCCCTTTTCTATGTAGATTGTGAATGTGGTTTTAGTAAATCAAATAATGCAATGAACAATGATGAATTAATGATGGTTGGTTTGTTTAAAAGGTGATGTGTTTAATTATGATTTTAGTAATGCTTTCAATAAATCCCTTCAGAGTAAAGATAGAAGAATAAAAAATAAATAGATACAATTGAGAAAATTGAAATTTATCTTCCGGAAAAATTTTTGCATTAGGAGAAATTTCAAATCAAATAGTTAAACTCAAGCCTATAATTGTACAAAACTTTTAATGCATTAAAACATCAATTTTAATAGAGTCTTGAATGTGTAATATTATGAAATTTTTGTTTATTTAAGCAATGTCTTTCTTTATGATGTATATATGATGTATCAATCAAGGCTGGAACATGTGCAAACAATCTATTAATATTATATGAAGGTTATTATTATTGAATTAAAATGAAAATGGATGGACGAGATATTATATCATATTTTCGCATGATTGCTAGATAATTACGCAGTATTATTTAATATTTATATGAATGTCCAATATAAGTAATTCATTCACATGAAAATCTAATATATTTTGTTTCAAGCATAATTTTAAAAAACCTCACTTTTTTTACAAAACAAAAACCAAAACATAAAAAATGAATCTGACATCCTGGTTACCTGAAGATTGGGTGAATATGATTTATTTTCTCAATAACAACTTTTTTTTGATTTTCCTTTTAATTTGTTTAATTTGTTTCTTTGTAGGCTGATTTCTTTGATTCTCTTAGCACTACTGATATGTAAGTAATTGTAATAATTAGTATTGGTGGTGATTATTAAAATTATATAAAATTATATCATAATATTATTATATAAACGTAGAATCGCAGGAGCAATACCAGCATTTCTTGTAATATATACAGTTTTTCCAAGTGTAGTTTATACATTTAAACAGAGAAATAATAGAGGTAATTGGTATGTCGCACCAGAACCAGCTGATGAATCACCATCGACGAAAGCCAAATTGGTATTTTATTAATATTTAAGATCTTTAATTAATTAATGAAAAAGCAAAAATTATATAAATTATTAATAATAACAATATTATTATTATTAGTTATTATTAAACAGCTTAGCAGTAATATTCAGTATTAAATATATCGCAGAATATATTTTTAATCATCCAAAAGCTGAAACTTTTGTAACAGGAGCTTTATTAACCGTCATTGTGAGATTCTGGGATTTTATCGTTATTTACAAAAACAAATATATATATATAGAAAAAAAAATATATATACAATTATTAATTAACTTATTTCTTTTTACAAAAAAAAATTAGTTGATCACAGTAGTTATTTATCATTTTGAAAATATGGGAATTGTTAAACCTGCAATTCCACTATCAGTCTTATGGGGAACAACAACACTTACAACATTATATTATACTACATCAACCCATGATATTTCTCATGAAATTTATTTGATTTCCAGTTTATTAATGTTTATGTTGGAATGGGCTGCACCACGTACTAAAAATGATGAAGTAAGTTTATGTTATTAAGTGAATTAATCAATTAATCAATTATTTATTTATTTTCTAAATTAAATTTTTTTTTTATTCAGTCTAAATTTAGTTTATCAGCATTAACATCTAAATTATCAAATTTTAATGGTAATGATAAAAATACAAATCATATAAAATCAGATTAAATTGTAATTTTTAATAAAAATAATAAATAAAATAAAATTCTATTATCAAAATACTGCTCACATTTTTTACAACATCATCATTAAAAGATGAAGATAATTAATAAATGAGAATCTGATTGGTTAAAATAAAAAAAACCAACAATACTAACATACCAAATCAGATCAGATTGTGACAAAAAATCAAAATTAGTAGATAACAGCCTCCACTACCAGGTTGGAATACATTAGGTTTTCGTTGTTTCATCTCAATTCTGCTTTTTTGTGGCACATTTTGAATCAACTGAAATTTGTTGGCAGCCTCATCCAATAATTGTCTCAATGAAAAACTATTGATATATATTATAGTTGCTTTCTGTAAATGGTTTTGAGCATTCCTATTCTGTAAAGGTTACAAATATTTATAGATAGCATTATTAATATATATATAAATATATATATAAATTTTATTCTATTTACAATGAATCTCCATAAGTGCACCCCATTGCATTTATAAAGGGAATAATTTTATTGGTTGCACGTGACACTAATAAAAATTATTGTGTTGCAAAAAAATCGCTCCTTTTTAAAAATTAAAATGATTGGATACATTTTTTTACATGATAATTGATCTTCATTCATACCATTATACTGATTTTCTTTAGCTTTAATACTTAAACTTTGTAAATATAAAATTGGAAGCACAACATAAAGCTATTTTGCATTTTTGGATGAATGGAGTCCATTCCCCAAAAGAAATACATGAAAAAACAAACATACCCTTTGCACTATTGAGAGCAACTTGAAAAAACTAAAAGAAACTGGGAACTGTTGAACATAGAGGTGGTAATGGCCATCCGTCCAAGATTATACAAAATGTGTCATGTTCCATTGGGCAAACTATTCATCACATCACTGCCATTTCAACATGACAACTTGTTATAAAACTTCAAGCAACACAAAACTTAACAGTTTTGCATCCTGAAAAAAAATCATTACAAAAGTTCTGTGCTCATACTAAATTTCCCCTACCAGGTATGAGCTTATATCAGAGTGAAATGATGTCATTTTAGGCACTCTCCTAAAACATATGAAAAATGTCATGAAAATTTACATGATCTACATTTTTCCAGATATTTTTGGCAGGTGAGTATGTTACCTATATGATTTAAATATTTACTTAGTGAAGTTATACAAGTCACATTATTTGTATCACCAAAAGAGGTATAAATACACTTGGTTTTAGACCAAGTTAAAGAGATAATGTTCATAACAATCAATCAATTGATAACTATCATAATACTATAATAAATATATACCTATACATAAATAGTCTTTGACTGTAATTAATAAACCCAGTGTGGTTGATTCCCAGTCCTTCTAATGATTAATGGTCTGGCCAACCTTTAACTATTAGTTGGGATCCTTTAATTATTAAACATATTGCCAAGGGGACACCTTTGGAATATAAAAGATACAACAACCTATGGATCTTCTATCTAGACTTGGTGTCATAGGATAGAAGAAGTATAACCTATCCAGGCTTGGTGTTGTAATATAGGAAATCAACTATAATTTGGAAGCAAAGTAAGACCAGTTGTATGTTGATATTTAGACTTAGTGTCAATAGGTAGGATTATAGACTATAGTTCAGAGACAAAGTAAAACCAACTGTGTGCCAAACATAAGGACTATCTAATAAGTAAGTAACTCGGATTGCATGCTAGCAGTAGGTAAAAGCCTACAATTAGAGGAAACCTAGTCAGGGACAGTAGAAGCTGAGCTGAAGGTATAAAAAGGAAGAAGTTAAAGATATTTGGATGTTCTCAACTCAGGCAGATAACAAAAGAGTATCTGCTGAGAAAAGCATGATTGGGGTAATAGGAACCATTATCAGAGATTTATAGCAAAAGAAGCATGAAATTTTAGAGGATATTTGTAAAGAAAAACAATTGCATTTTGAGATTAGGAAGTTAAAGAGTATTGAAATTGTATTTGTATTATTTTAATTAGAACATTGTAATCAGACCCAGACACTTTTATTGACAACCACTTTACCAACAGGACACTTTACTGACAACCACTTTACCAACAGGACACTTTACCAACAGGACACTTTACCAACAAGACACTTTACCAACAAGACACTTTACCAACAAGACACTTTATTGACAATCAAGTAAGGTTTCTGGCCCAAACTGTTTCTCAAAGCTTGAACTATTTTGGCAATTTGGGCTTTTCAACATTTTTAATATAATAAGGGTGTGAGTTACATTCAAAATCATTATCCTTTTTTTTCATAAAAATTCAAGAAATTATGTTTAAAAGTAACACACCCTCCCAAATTTAATCAGTAACAATAAAAAAAATAATATGAACATGTAAAACAATTAATAATCAAATATAAGATTGTAGTCTTTGCCTCATGTTTATGTGTCAACTCTTTAATTGAAGCTTGATGTTTGGATATTTTAGACCATAACAAGATAGTATGTAATAAAAAAACAATGTTATGTAAAAGTGATTTAATAAACATTAAATATAAGATATAAAATATAATCTTTGTATTCATTTATAACTCCAAGTATCAATTTTTAACTTAGTGCAAAATCTAAAGATATTGTTTAATGATAGTGAAAGATAGTTTGAGAGTAAAGCATAAATATACATTTGCAGAAATTGTTGTTATGATTTAGTATAAATAAATTGGAAGAAATTGATTAACATTGTTAGCATATTATTATAAACAAAATATTGAGATTTAATGTGAGATGCAGATTTTTATCTCATTATTATTTATAATATTTATAGATGATAAAAATGTTAAAATATTATATATAAATGTTGAATATAAAAATGCTAATAA